AAGTAATTCAGTAACACCTTATCCATTCAGCACTCGATAACATATCATATTTCTAATAGCATTTTAATTAAACCATCTCACATATAAAATAGTTAATACTGCAACCAACCGATTATACATGAAATTTACTATAGGACTATATGATTACGTAATTGGACCATCAGTAAGGACCGAATTAAGCTCTCTGGGGTCACCAAGCTAAGTATGTAGGTGCATATGTATTATACAATTATAGATATATATAAATAGTATTTGTGTGTTGAAAATTCCAAGTTAAACAAACATAACCAGTGCAGCAACAGCACAAAATATTCATCCATATACAATATATATTTAATGGATAACCTTATATTTGATCTGTCACTGCACAGATGGTAACTTGAGACTGGTTTATTCGTGAAAGGACCAGAAAACGGAAAAATTGAATTATGAACGGCAATCATAGTTATTGACTACTAGAAGCGGTTCTGCCGATTCTTTGGGGAGAGGGGGTGGGGGGGAGTATAGTTATTGTTAGTCAGTTTGATTACGTAAAACTGGATCTAAGGATGAAATTCACATTACATTCTTTTAATAGTAAAATACAAGTAGGGCTAGGAAGATATTGAATAAAATGTTCTGTTCAAAATTATTTTTTAAACTGAAATATTCTTTAGACAACATTGAATTAAAATGTATTAATATTTGTTAGGTATTTAAGTTATCTTTGGTTTACACATTACTTGTAATTCTAATCGGAAGTGATATCCCAGCTCCTAAACCTGTTTGTTTTATACATACAGTTGTGCAGGCCACTCAAAGGCAAACGGTCGTTCACACCCTTGTCTATAATGGCCGACCATGACTCTCTCTGCTAACCATGCATATAGACATCGCAGAACTAGGGACTTGGCATTGTGCCAAGGTTGACTTGATCACACGAAACAGTCATGACATTGGCTTCGTTTTTGTCCTTTTCTAGATTTACGTATCAAACAGGATATTGTTTTTCATTTTTTAGACCTTGAATGAACAAAGTACATACTTTCTCTAGTCTTTTCGTGACCAGAAACACCAGAATCAAACCTCAACTTTTGAAACCCTTGTTCTCTTCATAAATAAATTGAACAATGTTTCACCAAGGTTAAAGACAAATACAACGAAATGGTGTTTAAACGGAAAAATTAACTACTACTAAATACCCCTACCTTACAGGCAAAAAAAAAAAGCTAAGTGTATAACTGCTTTCCATAATCTCTCCTCAGTTAAAGTGGGAACCCTTGATCCCCGGCCCTTTTAAGAGTCAGTAAATAACGCCATTGAATCAGATCAAGCAGTGTTTGATTTCTAGGAAGAAAAAAAAAGAGGAGTACAGGATACTTTATCCCTTATAATGAGTGTGGGGAAGGGGTATTTTTAGTTTTGGAAGATAATAATTTAAACGTTATTGAATCTACTGTTTAGGATGGGGCTGGAGAAGAGTAATGTAGTTGACTACACCAGTCAGATATATTTTCACCATGAAACAGGTGCACTGAGAACAAGAGACAGAAAAATTCATGACCGTCTACTTTCCAACGGGTCAGTGTTCCGACAAGGCATGACTTGCAATAGAATTGCAAACAAAAAAATATAAAAAACTTCATTTATTTTATTTCTTTGTAAGAGACTTTCAAGATGGTCATGTTAAAAACTGGTCGGTCTTAATTGTCTCAATTGACTTAATGATGAACCTATCTAAAGGTTTATGTAATATTGAACACACACACTTATATATAATAGTTTTGTATTCAGCCTCTTCCTGTTTTAATACTTAATGCTGTAATTTTTTATAGTTAATTTTCTGTGATGATATTATAATTTATTTGCAGATAACGAAATGACGAGTAATGGTGACGGTCAAATAGTAAAGTGTCTGAACTCATATTAACCAATGATATAAAAAAAAGAAGTCAAAATGGTTTGTTTATAATTAAGCACAAAGCTACACAATGGGCTATGTGTGCTCTGCCCACCACGGGTATCGAGACCGGATTCTAGCGTTGTAAGTCCGCAGACATACCGCTATGCCACTGGGGGGCATGAAAGTAAAATAGGTGGAATGAAAAATTTCGCTTAAAATATGTATTGGTTTGTGTTATGTATTACACGCTCTTTCCAGTGCAACGACCAAACATGAACTTTAGTGTAAAAAAAAAAGCCGTCAAGCTTACCGCTGAGCCATGGAGGAAATGCTATGATAAATATAATTTTTATAGTCAATATTAAATGTTTATATTCGGTATTTTCTGTTTTAGTGAGCATTTATTTTCTATTTCTATATAAAAATGTGCAAATATACAGTTTATATAAAATGTTTTGTGGGTAATATAAAATTATGCATATTTTAATAACATGTTTCTATTTTGGCGTATCTAGGAATTTGTTTCATTTGTCTTGTCATGACTACAAGTAGAACAAACCCTAAACTTTGACAGTATTGCCTCTTATAAAATATAAATACATAATAGAAAATATATAATCAAAATAAATTCCAATACAAAATTAATTCAATGTTTTAGCCAAAATACCGATCAAAATCGTTTTTTGTGGATTTTGCTTTGTTCTAGCAACATTGGCGATATATTGGTGATATCATTAATAAATATACAATTTTAGAAAACAGTTTAGTAAAAATAAAAATGGAAAGGGATGATTGTAGCAACCTTGTATCGCTTCATTTGATTAAATACAGCCAGTTGCCTAGTGCCTCAATTCACTTATATTTTGTATGCGGTACTTTGTGTGCTAGAGTGCATACCCCTTCTGATTATGACCCGGATGTGCCTACTGGCTAGTGTGCTGCACCGGGAATCTGAGGGTCCACGGTTCGCGTCGCGTTGCTATAATATCGCGTTCCTCACTTTAGAGCCAAGCCGTGCGTGCGTTATAAGAGTGAAAGTCAAATCTTGCTATCCGATTATAATGGCCCAAGCGTTAGCGGCAGCTGCTTTTCTTCTAGTCTATTAGTTAAAAATTAAGGTCGGCTAGTACAGACAGCCCTTATGTAACTTTGTGCGAATATCCGAAGTAAATAAGCAAACTTCTAATTATTTTTACGTGCATTGAATTTCGACTCTCTCCTCTTTTATCAGCCACACCCGTTCAGGGCCGTCATATAACGTGAAGGTATGACATAGCTGTAGATTTTTCCCATAAATGTGATTTATGGTCTATCTAGACCATAATGTGACTTCAGTCATTGCAGAAATGACAATTTTTGCGGCATGAAAAAATCTATGTTGACTTTTTTTTTTTTTTTGCATCGAGAATTATCCGGTTAATATAATCTGGCCTTTCTACATATATATTTCCACAATATGTAAACTAAGCTTTTAAGTAATGTGTTGAATGGATACATTCCTTCTTTCTTCGTGTAGCTTTTTATAATATACACGTGAGTAATGAAGAATGAAGTTCTTGTTAACTATGGCCTCATAAAGAAAGAAAATAAAGCCGAGTTAAAATACGGTAGTTTTAGTGTTTTTGTTTTTTCTTAAGTAATTAGTTGAGTGTAATTCGCACAATATTGAAACACTATATATTACAACCTGATGGTCTTTATATAAGTTGGCGCTAGACGGCACCACTAGAGGAGAGGTCTTTTATTTTGTGTTAGAGCAAAACAACAGTAATAGGTTATATCTTCCCTAGTCACCACAAATAATGGAAACACGAATTTTTGTGTTATAAATCCGTAAACTTTCCGCTGGCCCACTATGGGACTTTTTAGTAAGAACTAGTTTAATTTTTCACCTCTTGTTCCATTCCCCGAGAATAATTATTGAGACAGAAAAGTTTACTTTATGTATGTGTATAAATATTGTTTTCATGTTTCATTACCCTAGATACAGAATAAAGTTCTCATAAAAGCTTTTTTTCAGTAGACTCATATTTTTCAAAATATTAAATAATGGTGTTATAATACAAAAAGAAAAGCGAGGGTAACCCTACGAAAAATTAAAACTATAGGCAATTATACACGGTCATTAACAAAACAACTAGTAATAGATCACTACGTACTGAAAAACTGGTTCTGTTATGACAAGAGAATTCATCAAGAGTTTACAAAATATTTCTCTCTATATATTTGATACACCGTTTCGGGTTGTGCCTCTTTCAGGCAGTGTCGCTATACAACTAGGGTTAATCGCATATTTTAAAGTAATATGAATTTCCTCTAATTCCATTTGAATGTTCCAGGTGTAGCCTAGTGACTACCATATCGGGTTGATGAGCAAAAGATCCGGGATTCAAGACATGATGCCTGTCTATACTTCTAGTTTTAGACGCTTTACAATATTAATATTTAATTCAGCTATTCGGTTCAAATAACTGGTAACGCCCTGGTTACAGTTGGTGCTGCTGGCGACTGCTTTTCCAATGTTCAGTAGGTCAAAATTAGAGACGGCTATACCTGAATTCTAGAATCTCTGATTTGAAATAACGTGCGTTAAGATTGAAAATTCCAATTCCAAGTAGAATTTTCACTGCATAGTGAATAATATTTGAATGGCCGTGAAAAAAGATTTACTTAGGCTCTTTTAACATTCTGTCATAAATTTTATCACTTGACAAAGACGTAAAGTGACCTGAAGCTAACGTTACTAGAATGTCAGAGTAGCAAAAAACCCTGTACGTACTTAAAAACTTGTAAACATATTCTTTTTAGACATAGCAACATATACTTTGTTTTCAATATTTTTAGTAGACACGGAAATGCGAAACGTTCGATTAATATATTATCTATTATAAACGGAAATCTAAATTGTTGAAGTTGGAACCTTCTTCGACATTTTTGTATATGAAGAATGTATGTGGTAAGACTAAAATTATATCGTGGGTTATATATACTTCTTTATAAAAACGAATAATATATTCGTATATTTACACTGGAACCAAATTTTATGACATTCTCCATATGTTTTTTCTTTTATGTTTTCACACAGTTCATGCTAACCTGCACCATATTTACTATACAGGAAAAGAAGAACTGAGTCCTCCAACAATTGGGATCAATGGCTGTTACGTTGACAGTTGTGGAGACTTTAAAAAGAAGACCAAGGGTCCTGCTCCTCGTCAGCAGGAAGAACTATGTTTAGTGTGTGGTGATCGTGCTTCTGGATACCACTACAATGCTCTTACTTGTGAAGGATGCAAAGGTATAATTTAAAACCGTTAATTACATTTTTATTGTTTTAGTTACATTTCATTCCTTTGGCTAGAGTATGAATTTTATTCAGAAGTCACGCGAATTGAGATTAGTATGCTCTAAATTAGTGTCGTTAGTCCAATTGATAGATAGGTAAACAAGCAAATGAGACGTATAGAGAGACAGACATACTGCCATCTTAGGATTTATTAGTGTCTAAAAACCACCAGCAATTCATAGGGTATGGAGAACATTAGCATAACAATGTAACAAATTTGCTTGAAGTTAAAAATATCACCAATTGTTGATGTGAAGGAGGTGTGTCTTTATACTGACTTCATTTTTTGATAATGTTATTATGAAAAACTAACACGTCAAAAAGAAATAGGAAAATATTCCTTTTCACGTGGTTACATTAATAAGACAATTTATAAAGAAAATGATACTTGTTATATTCACAGTATTCATATACAAAAAGAAATTGGGATTAATCTTTATCTTGCTTTCGTTCTCCCTGTTTCTCATATATATATATGTAATACGTTTTTTTGTTGTTGTTGTACATGTATTTTTCTTTTGTAAGTTTGATTGATTCAAAATGTATTCATTATTCTGATATGCAAAACAATTTTAGTCCATGCGGTTAAAGTTATTTATCCTGATATTTTAAAGTGAAATAATAAAAAAATCTTCATTTCGATTGGTTTCTTGTATAGGTTTCTTCCGGCGCAGCATTACAAGAAACGCGGTTTACCAGTGTAAATACGGCAATAACTGTGAAATTGATATGTACATGAGACGGAAATGTCAAGAATGTAGGTTAAAAAAGTGCTTAAACGTTGGGATGCGACCCGAATGTAAGTAATCGATGTTTGGATATATTGTATCTTAAAAAGCCGTATTTTTTATTTTTTTCTGTGCTATATAAAAAAATAAGTATCAAAAATGATGCACTAAAAAACATTAGAGATAACCAATAGATATAATTGTATAATGTGTAGTTCTTATTGCTGCTTTTAAAATTACCTGGAGCCATCAAATAAGATTTCATGAAACTATCGCACTGTATAATTGATAAGCCATTTTTCAATAATGTTTTGTTCCATTAATGTTTTTTTAACGTATTTGGAATAAAAGACTAAGTAATTAATGAGTAATTTTTTCATATATTTTTGGCTTTAATAATTTCAGCGTTAAAAGCATTGTTGAAAGTTTTGGTAAATATCAAAAGTTTATTTATGAATTTTTTCTCACCAGGTGTAGTACCTGAGTATCAGTGTGCCATCAAACGGGAATCAAAGAAAGTACGGAAAGATAAAGATAAGCCTAACAGCACAACTAAAGACAGTACCTGCGAAAAGGATGAAAGGCCTAACCAAGTAAAACCCCTGGAACCTTCCCAGGAAGACGTAATTAATAAGCTAGTCCTGTTTCAAGAAGAATTTGAATCTCCTTCACAGGATGATTTGAAAAAAATATCTGTAAGTTAAAGTAGTATCACATGACGACAATAATGTGTAATACTAATAGAATTAAAACAAAATAACACTAATTACTTTAAAAATAGTCTTTATTTTTGTGTTAAGCATATAAATGTTGTAACAAGTTCTTTTGTATTATTCGGTCAAACTTAGATGAAGAATGCAAACTCCAGTCTACTTAGTGATAACGAAAGCATTTTATTTCTTTGACCATAAATTCTTCGTGGACAAGTTCCATGTAACTAACATTAAGCCTATCTTCACAGAACAATAACGCCTCAAAAAAGATTCCACTTCCTAAATTATTTGATAATTTCCTCATGCGTATGATACTTTCTCAGAGTTATTATATCTCTAACAAGGCGTAGAAAACACAAAATTACAATGCTGAACTAACTAGTTGACTCAACAATCTCGTCAAGTCTCAACAAAGTCATGTTTTGTTTTGTTCAAATCATTTCATCTACTTTTATTTGTAAAAAAGTTTTCCTCCTAGCCAAAAGCAATACAAACGTCTAACCTTGGCAAAAACTTGCCTACAAAAATAAAAAAAAACATCCTGTTACCAAGTGTAAAATGTTAAATCTGTTAATTTAAACAGTTATGATAAATATTTCTTAATTAATATTAGTGGATATAATCATGTTTCTAGGTTTAATATTTAATTTAACCATTAGGCCTAGATTATTAAAGTTATTAATGCTATTTTTATAATAATAAAATATTGTTGTATTTTAAATATGTTTATCTTTTCAACGTTGTAATTTAGTTGTCTGCTAATCATGATCATGACGCTAGAACTAGAAAGTTCATGAAAGTAGTCTGATAATCTACGACCCGGTAGAAATTGAGAGTTTAGTATAAATACAAGATTGACTGAATTGTTGGTCGAATAAAGTTAATAAGAACATTGAGAGTTAGTACTTCTGTCAGCTAATTAGTATGTTAGGGTTTTTTTCAATCTGTGAAATTTCTGTTAAAAGTTTTTGGTGTATTTACTATTAGGCCTACACAGTAGTTTTGGAGTTTCTGTTGAAAAGTTTTGTATGTTAGGCGTATAGGCTATGATATAGGTGAGCGTGGCCTGTAGCAAACATTAACTCGTTGGTTGCTGCCATATTATATACTAATCCACATTATTGTGCCAAATTCCTGAATTGCCAAGAAGCAAACACGATATCCTCGAGTCAAATACCAGAAATAAACTTTATTTTTGAAATATTATGATTATTGTGAACCACCGGAGGGTCAAGGAGCACACTTCTGTTAGCGTCATGTGACCGTTTGGTGGGTCACATGGCAGCCAACGCGTTAAAGAAAAAAACAAGTTAATTTATTGGTGTTAAGTGGACTGGTTCTTGCTTTATTTCTACCAAATATTCCAAAAGAAACTACCAAACATAAAATAACGTTACTTCAGTATTAAGCAGGATTATATATCTGCTTAATTTGAAAATATCTAGACAATCTTGAACTACTGCTCATATTTAATATATTATTTCTCATGTGTATGATTATTTTCAGTGTAAAATAATTTGCTATTTTATTTTTATGTTTGTGACTTGTAGTAATGAATATATTTTGTATTTAATTTTCATTTTGTTATTTGGACAGACATTTCCTACAGGCGACAGTGAGGAAGACAACCTTCAAAGGTTCCAACACATTACTGAAATTACCATTCTCACAGTTCAACTCATTGTAGAGTTCTCTAAACGTGTTCCTGGGTTCGATACCTTGCTCCGAGAAGATCAAATTACTCTTCTTAAGGTAAGAAAATTGACATATTAGACAAAACATTCATTAGTTTGAATGGTGTATATATAGTGGTCGCTTTCAGGAATTAATAGTAAAATCACAATATTAAATGTGTGTCAGGTTAATTTTGTGGTTAGTTACACATTTTTGTATTCTATAGATATATATTTTAGTTTTGTTTATGGTAAAGTTGAGGGTAGTTTTACTGTCATTGCACTTATTTTAATTCATCGTGAACTTATTGAAGATAAAAAATTTAAAAATATTGCCTTACACAAACTTTGTGTGGATTAGTTTTTGAAATTAATAAACATTAGTCAGATATTTGCATACTTGTAGAAATGCTGAATTTGGATGAACTTTTCTTTTAGCTATATGCTTTATATATATAAAGCATATATATATCTAGCAGAATTAATTGGATGAAACATTATATTTAAAGTTTATAAAATATTAATTCTGAAATATGTAATTATTTTAAAGAATATTCTAAAAACATTGTCAGTTTAATTTATTTCTATAGGTTTTAATCATTTTATTCGTAGAAACGATAGTTGTCTTTAGTTTTAAATAAAATGCAAGCAGGCCCACCAAGATGGCGAGGACACTAGAAATATTTCCCTGGGGCCCACTTCTCACCAGGGGGCCCATGAGAGCAGCAGGAAAATGTGTACGGAATGTATCAAGTCAGAATAGAATGTTTAAGGAAACAAACTGTGTTTTCAGTCATATATATATATATATATATATATGCAAAAGAAAGTGACTTTCATTACCAATATACTTATATCCTGTAATGGCAGTTTCAGTATAGCACAAGTCTTTCAAGTTCAACCAAGTTCTTTATTTGGAAAACAAGTTTCTGAGAAAAGTTAGTTTTTAACAATTGCACATCAGTGAAGACTCTTAATAACCATTAAAGCAATAATTGAGGTTTATGGTATTCAATACATCAAGTTAGATCGAACAAGTATCGACTCAGTAAATAGAGTTGTAGGTGTAAATCCGTCCTGCAGTGCCTTATTTAGTAGCTTTGTGGCACTCCCGCAAAAATTACGTTTCGGCCCCCACCCCCGGAGGGGTCAAAATCAAGAGACTATGGACCCGCCTTCAAGGTTATGCAATTTACAGCCAAGAGAATACTATAACTTTTTAAAGAAAATACTATAATTTTTAATACAGTATGCTTATCTTCACGAAATTTTACAGATTATCACTAAACATTACAAGGCTGTGATAAACGAAATATCAGTCTTAAGATTTTTTTAAGCAGTTATTTGCTCGTGCATTTTTTCTTTTCCAATGTTGACTGTCCAACATGCAGAGTAATTCTGACTGCGTCGGACTCTTTGAGACCTGCTGCCGTTATAACCGTCAGGTGGCAACAGATTGACCCCGATCACACTGCGTCGGGTACGTCGGCAAGACTGCGTCGGTCTCTTTGATGACCTGAGTGACAATTGTCATATCCAAAATCCAAGAAGCCGTCGTGGTAGCGACATTTTTGAGTATTTAGCTACAGGGTAGGCATCTAGAGATTTTTAGTAAAGTTGCTGACAAACCTGGCGACTTTTGTTAGAACTGAAAATTAAATGTAATAACTAATGTGAAATTATGAAGTGAATAAAAAAAGACTTGAAAATTCACATATGTATGCTGAATGGATAAAGAAAGAATTACGTTTCTCATTTTTCCGGGGGCGGGGGGACGAGTGCCAACCCTTGTCACCCCTACGGACGCCCATGCGTAGAAGGGTATATAAATTAGAATCACGTTCTACTGGTATTCTTTTTACAGCAGCAGGTTATTACAGAATTAAGAAAAGAAAATTGCGAAGAAAAAGAGACAACAGCTGCAATGATTTTGGAAATAAATAAAATAAGAAAAACAGAATATAAAGATTCAGAGAATTTTCTGCTACCCATATATTTTTTTTTGCTTATGTGAAAATTAATTCTTTGCATGTGTAACATGCTGCTCCCTTAGCCTGCACTCCTTCCTGCATCTAAACATGGCACCCCTGCATGGTCTTAGTTTTAACTTCTTGAGAAAAATTGACTAATGAATTAAATAGGTCACAAAATGGTTCAGAGAAGGGCTATTAGGATGGTTCTGATGATGGAGGTTTATCTCTGGGGGATAGGTTAAGTTCTCTTAGTTTATTTTCTCTTCAGAAAAGAAGGGTAAGGGATGATTTTATTGAAGTTTATCCAGGGGTTCAGAAAAATAAAGACCTCTATTTTCTTTGTGCTGTTTTTTGAAGACAATAGGAAAAGAGGGCAAAAGTTCAATCTTTGTAAAAAAACTGGCTAGGCTCCAGTTCAGAAAGTGCTATTTTTTAACTGGGTGTTTGGTTTATAGAATGAGTTGCCATCAACAGTTATGAAGGATAACACTTCACAAGAGTTTAGAAGATTTTATTTTCTGTAAAAAAAAATAAAGGGAGGATTTAAACTTTTATGTATTTCTAAGGGTGACTGTTCAGGGACAGTCTTGAAGGACCAAATGGTCTCTTGTTGACTGTTTGTTATGTTTTTGAGGAACCTCGTAAATAATATTTTTCAAATCTATATAATATCCATTTATCACCATCCACTACTTATATATTAATTCCTTGTTTGAAACATTATCAAATGTTTTTAATACTGAAGGAGTATCCTCTCATCCTAACCAAAATAAAATTTGTAACATATGTTAGTAATTAGGCCAGTAATTTTCCTGCCTCTCTCCCTTGATGCCTTTTTAAAAACAGGGACTGCCTTAGCAATCTTCTGATCATCAGAAATATTGTCTAGTGATTTTTGACATATATCAACATCCATATTAATTATTTTATCAAATTATGCAAATTTATTTACGTTTTGAATTTTTTCCCCAAAGCAACCTTTTTGTCCAAAAATAACAGAATTAAAAAAATTAACATTCCCACTTATTGAACATGTTAGCAACCAGTTTTAACCTATTTAGCCACGCCCCTTTCATCCATAATACATTTTCATTAGAACTATTTAAAAATTCCATTATCACCTTTAAATTCTCTTTAGTGTTTGAGTTTCAAGCTAAGACACATTCATAGTTCCTTTAGACCTTAACAGTGGTGTTTTAGCTTATTTTTATAAATTCAGCATCTTCCATTTCCCCAGTAAGTTTCATGACCTGGGAAGCTCTGTTTTTTAATTTATTGAAAATGTAATCACCTATTAAGAAATGTGAATCTGGTTGTATATAAGATTTTATCAGGGCCATTCAGAGGGTAAACTTATGATATGGAGACCTCCCCACAAATGCATATTTCCATTAAAATAAGATTAAACATTTGTTTTCATACAATGACCCTAATAACTTTGCATATAAACTATTTTACATGTTGTGGTTTGGGCCAATCATTAGGTTCTAGCCTGCAGTGACTATAATAATAATAATAAATAGCTTAAATAAAAGTACAATTGAGAAAGAATGCAACAAAATTAAACTACAGAAATTTTACTTCAAAAATAAGCATTAAAGAATTTAATACTCTTGAGAGACTGAGATTTTCATAAATCACTAACTAATGATTCTGGAGTAAACCGAAATAATACTATTTTGCTAAAATGCCACAAATTTCCTCAGAATATGTGTGTCTTCTACTGCCCTCTGGTAGATGTTTCTATACAAAAACTTTTACAATATTTCTTGCTCCAACAATTTAAATTTCAAAATTTAGTCAAGTTAATGGATATGTGTATAATATGTTGATCAAATTATCATGGTGGATTTTTCACATAAAAACAAAAATAAGTTTATAAAATTCAAGGTTAAAGTATGTTCAAACTGGCAGCTCAATGAATATCAGTTGTCAAGACAGTTTCAAAAAATGTTATGTTCTAGGGAACTCTATGTTAAATGATAGGTATTATTTGCTTTTTGTAAATTTTCTTTGGCACATTTTTGTTTTTCAGTTTTTATTAAACAATAATTTATATTCTGGGGAACACAAGGGCAAATGTCCCTGGTTTTAAATTGATTACTGGCTTTTTTCAACATGTTTGATTGGGATATTGCAGTTTTATCATTATTGAACAAATTGTTAAGGAGAATCATTATTTAGTTATTTTTGGGAAAAAATAGTAAACTTGGTAATCTGTATATTAATTTAATGCCATTTAAAGTGTCAATAAAAAATTTTAAAATTTTGTAACACAAGGCATAAAATAACTTAGTCTAATTTCTATAACATAAGATTGGATGAGAAATGGGTAACATTTGTAGACTGTTAAAATATATATCAAAAGTGAAAAGGAATGCTATGAAATAAATCTGGTTTTGAATTTTTGGGTAGCAGTGTGAGGAACTGATTTACCCTACACTAGAAAATATTCTATATCAATAATTTGTTTAGGCGAGAAAAATTAGCAACAGCAAATCTGATTTTAACCACTTTGAAACATCACTGGATTAAAGAAAAAAATAAGACTTGTAATATTTACGTAACCAAAATTTGATTTTTTATAAATATTCATAAAAGGTGATAAAAGTAATAAGTTATCCAACTTAAATCATTACAGTTACCACATTCCAATAATGCTTCAAGTACCTACATATAAATGAGCTTTGGATAAGCTTATATATGGGATTATTAAAACATACAACACTGAATGTCATGTAAAGCCAAGGACAAAGAATGTAACAAAATATTTGATAAGCTATAAAGCATTGTAAGACGTGATAATAAAAGGAAGTATTTGTGATTTCCTTATGACTTGCATCTTTTTTCTTTTACAGTCATTATGTGTAATGAAAAATCTACTGGGGCTTGCATTAATAAGATCTGTTGGAATAAGTAGGGAGCTGTAATTGTAAAATGTACATTTTAATGCAGACCATTAAGGTGAACTTTTATAAAGTTAAATAAGTTATCTCAAAATAAAGTTGCAATGCAAATTCTTTTTTTATCATTATAGGCATGTTCTAGTGAGGTAATGATGTTGAGAACAGCCCGGAAGTATGATGGAAAGACAGACTCTATTGTCTTTGCTAACAATCAACCATATACACGGGAGAACTACCGCAGTGCCAGTATAGGAGATTCTGCTGATGCTCTCTTTAGCTTCTGTCGAAAAATGTGTATTTTGAAAGTTACAAATGCTGAGTATGCTCTACTAACAGCTATTGTCATTTTCTCAGGTAAAATAAAGTCTTGATCAAAATGTCATTAGTCTATTTAACTTGTTGAATTGAAAGTAAAAGATTATACTGGATCTGTATTAGATTTTGCACTGTATCATTACAAAGTTACACTTTATATGTAAATGGAGTTTCCTCATAATTTACTAAGACTTGTAAACTGCACTGAGCAACATGATGCACTTGTATAAATGAAGCGCAGCATGTAGGAAGATTACTATTATTCAGGTTAACCTTTATTGTCTTGCACAATATAGTTGATATGCATGATTAAGATATACAAATAACATTAATGGTGTTGTCTTTTTTTGGTCAGTGCTAGATGTCCTACATTGCAAGTATTCAGAACTATTACTCCAATATTACTCTTTAAAGGCTTTCTGGTAGTTTGCTCATTTGCATTTAAAAATATTCTTTCCAGAGATCTTTAAAAGTGAACCAAAACAAAAGATATAAAGTTTGTTAGCTTACTAAAAAATAGTACTAATAGTTGCAAAATATGGTGTTATACTGTTTGTTCATTTTTTAACCTTTAACACCAAGTTTCCTGATAACTAATATGTACATAATCAACATATTGAAATTAATCTGGTTAAATTAATTCTTTAATGACAAATGGGTAGATTTATACCCATACCACAAAAAGACTTGCAAGCTTGTAGATGAAAAATTGAAAACTATGTAAAATTAGTAAAGTTAAATTGAACTATTTACTGTTTATAATTATCTGTTAAAAAGTGAATAATGATATTTATTCTACTAACCCACAATAATTTCTAAAAATGTGTTAGTCACAAGCAACAAAATGTTACTACATTATAGTTTACAGTTGTGGTTGCTTTCATCAGTGAAGTTTGATAATGAAATGAATTTTGAATTATATTTTACACGTATTGCCCAGGCATAATAAAATGAGAATGAAATTAAAAAAGAAAAGAATTGATGCAGAGAAACAACCAGGTCCAATAATTAAAACCAGCAGTGAGAGGTGTGTTTTATGTTAAAAGAAATTGCAAGAAAACAATACAAGTATCTTTTAATATTTTATTAATTATTTATTTATAGTTTCATGACTTTATTATGAAAGCTAATTATGTTAAATTAGGTGTATTTTCAGACAAAAAGTAGAAATTATTTGTTTGTCTAGTAAACTTGAAATATTTTAATTATCTGAATTGTTGAGATTTTCATGATGATAGGAATTACAATACACTGTTCTCATGCGAGACTTTTATTTATGCATTATATGGTTTTTCACATATAATGCCAAAGTAGATAATGTCTGTATTTGATTCTCCTTTTCTTGTGAGGTAAGTTCAACATTAGAGGTGGACCATATTGGTATTTTTCAATTGATTAGTAATGCAGAAAGGTGTTCCTCAAATCACAGTTACATACCTAGAAGCAGCAACAACAACAACAAAAAGTGTTGGAGGTGGATGCTGCTAAACAGTTACTATCCCTTTAGTCAGCAGTTCAAAATTAGTGACAGATAATTTTAATAGCTTGCTATAAAAGATGGCAAGCTTGGTGGCAATATTTTAACATCTTGGATAGTTGGAATAACTGAAAACGAAATTTTTGGAAAACTAATTTTGGTTAATTGTTTTAATCTTAATATTGATTACCTGATACTAATTAACATAATTGCAGCTCATGTGTAATCAATTATATTTATTAAATATCCCAGCTCTAATAAGGTATGCTTTCACTTTTTCATACTAAGGCCTATTTCCACAGTTTAATTTGGTATAAAAGTATTTATTCCTCCAATGCCAATTTAAAGAAATACTTAGTAATTGTCACCTCAAAAGTTGTGCTCAGCCACTAACAATCCTGTCATGTATCAAATAGTATTTATGCTTGCACCTAATGTTAAAACTGTAGCTTTCCAAATTACTAAAAGTCTTATTACCGCTAGCCTAAAATTTGTGTAATGTTTATATGGGTTATTTTTAAAAGGGATTAATTGGAATTTAAATAGGTGAATGAAAAAAAGAAAAAAAAATGAAGTATCTGAAATGATATGCACTTAATATTAATCAAAATTATCCATCAAAATTTTGGATTTATTACACTTATTGTAAATTTCCTTTAAAATTTAGACCACTATAATATTATGGGAATTTTACATTTTTTAATGTTTTTTGGAAGTTTTTTAGACATTTCTTTATGACCTGATGTGTTTCACCATTTTTATATTAAAAGGTATGTATTTTATGATATGAAACAATGTTTTATTGTGATAAGTTACTTTTTCCAGTTTCATCATCTCAACTCTGTACAACACGAACTTTATAGTTTTTTATTTCAATTTGCAGAGCGCCCTCACTTGCTGGAACCCAAGAAAGTGGAGAAAATACAAGAATTCTACATTGATGCCCTCAGGACATATGTGGATAACTTTCGTCCTCCAGGGAAGAACTATTTTGCCAAGCTTTTATCTGTTCTCACAGAACTCCGAACACTGGGTAACATGAACTCTGAGATGTGCTTTTCTTTAAAAGTTCAAAACAAGAAGTTGCCTCCCTTTTTGGCTGAGATCTGGGATGTAATGGAGTAAACCTTCATCTTTTTGACCCACTTCATTTGAAATCATTCCGTGTAAACTGATTATTTTTTGTATACATCGCTTTTTTGCTTCATTCTTGCAGTAGGAGCTAACTAAGTAGAGATCATGTATGGCTTAAAATTAACTAGCCAGCTCCCAGTCTTAGTGGTTTGCTTTAATTTTAAGATTTTAACAAATTCATGAATTACATCCTTGAACTGCCTTCAGATATTGATGATGCTAAGATATGCAACAAAAAAGGTGCAAAAATGAGCTCTTGGCATATTAAGGAAGTCTACTGTTCGTTTTTTAAAAGGTTGTGATCTTGTTTTGACAAGCCTTTAATTTCTGAACTCATCAATGATGGTACAGGTTCTGTCTATATTAGCCACAGTTCTAAAGACAACGCACAAGCGTAAAACATTGATGTGCAAACTCATAATGGTCACTGTTTTCAAATGAGAAACTTGTGTCAATGTGAAATGTGAACTCTGAAAAAAGAAAAAACAGAAACTTTGAGCCTGATATATTCCCGGTGACCTAAACAAGGCATGACATCGGCTGTAGGAGATGTTACTTGTGTCATTGATTTTGTTAATCTGATGATAATAATTTTTAAGAGTCATTACTACATTCAATCAAAGAACTTGATTCAACTTTATAATAACTGTCTTGTTTAATAGTGTTAAGAACTTTGAATTTAGTTTCTGGTGCTGGTTTTTGATATAATTCCATCTGTGACATACATTTTACCACTGTGCAAACAAAGATTATTATTGTGGCTGGAAATAGCATGTGACTAAAAGACAGTTTTAAAGCAACTCATATTGTACCAAATGGCTAAAGCAACAGATTGCTCACATGCATGTTGATTGTATGACTGATAAGGAATGCACAGGTATATGTATATTTAAATTCCTTAAGGTGTTTAATGACTCGGGCATTAATAGGGTGAATGGTAGCTTTTTGTGTAGTGCTGTTAGTTTGCTTTTAAATTTGATGCCATAATGCTTCATTGTTTTAGTTATGTGACTAATATTTGTTTAAGAGCTACAAATTAAGGAATTGCATGACATAATCATAAAACAACACTTTAGAATTCTCTGTGTAGTTTTGCTTTTTCTTATTTTGTAAATTGAGTAGTTCAGTAAGTTATGTATGAACTACAAAGCAAATGTCAGTAGCTACTAAACAAGATTTATCACGTAGAAAATCATGATGTTTCTTAAATAGCTATAATTGTAAGAATGATGCTAAAATTGTCTTTAATAGTTACTGTTTACTTACCACAGCCACTTATTATGATCTGCTAATGACTTTGATTGATCTCTTAAGAAATGTTGAAAGCATACATTACACAATATTAGAAATTAACTTGTAGTTTTATAAATATTAAAATTAGAATAAATAACTGAAATAATAATAAGTAAATGAATATATCACAGGTTTTTTCAGAAAATTTAAAATAATGTTTCTGAAATTATGCCTTCAAATTTAACCTGCAAACTAATGTTGTATTGCACATAATTTTGAAACTTGGCATCAAAGATAGGAATACAAGTTATGGAAAAATATATTCACTTGAATTCTTGTTTTTTTATATATTATAATCAGATTGGAAATACTATGTTCCATAGAATTAAAATATTAACATTTCAAGATTTGGTGCACAGACTAATAATCAATTGTTAGATGCTTCCACCCAACTAGAAAAAATGTACATTATTATAGATGTAGGTCATTCTTTTATGTGTAATATTAGTGAAATAATCATAGATGATAAAGGTTTAAATGAGAGTATTTATTCATTTGATCTGAAAAAAATTTTCATGTGATAAAGTATTAAAAACAAATGAACTTGGATAGAAAAAAAACAAGTGCTTTTGATAACATGTTTGGATAAGAATTTTATGATTTATGGGTAAGAGTAATGAAATATATTGTAGTCATTGTTGACTTCAAGTTCTAATGTGCATTCAAAGCTTATACTGTTTATAAAATGAGAATTTTTTCACAAGTTTTGTTTGTACCTTCCCTCCTCATCCTACATTTATTTACCTATAAATGTAACCATTATAGTTGTGTACTTAAGTTCCAAGGAATAGTAATAATATCCCTCTTTCTTTTTTTTCTCAAAATAATAGAGTATATGAAAAACAAAATTACCCTCATATTATTAAACTAACAAGATCTCGCTTATTAACAGTAACACAATATGTTAAATATATAAATTTTAGTTAAACAGTGCCTTGGACTTTAAAAAACTATAGAGTGCACTAGTAAATAAAATTTCACCATTTGAAAAATAAATTGGAAATAAACAAAATTGTATGAACAAAGGAAGAAGAAAGATCACAGTAATTTATATAACTGAGAAAAACCATATGTTGTACCTCCGTCCAGCTAGGGTTGAAATTGCATAAACATACACATGCCTAAAAGAAAATATCCTGATAATGTATGGTAAATTTATGTATACAGTGTATAGGGAGAAATGATGTTTTGTGTGTGAAAATAATGTTGGCATTGCTACATTAAACAAGTGCAAAAGTTCCTTGTGTAAGTTTCAAGAATCTTCATTGTTATCAAATCTGTGAAAATGAGAAATTTTGAGGTAAAAGAAAGAAAAGTATATTTTTAGGAAGAGGAGGGAAGACGCACTGAACTTGAGGCTTACGGGTGCAAATGGACGAAACCTTGTAATATATCATTGTTATTACTGAATTTATCTTTTAAATCAAAATGTTAAAATATAGTTCATATTTCTTTGTGAAAGTATTTAGCACTTCATAATTTACCCAAGTTTGAATAATGGTCTAGTTAGTAGATGTACAGGGATAAAACAATAGTTTGTATAATTCTGAAGAAATTAGATCATTCCTGATCAATCACAAAAAAATGCATAGTGCTTGGAAAATAAGTACAAGGAGTGAAGATCCAGCACTAATGTCTGAGTTCTAATATGGTACAGTGACCTGAGGCTGAAACTCTCTGTGTTAAAATGTTTAGATGTACAGAAATGTATGTTTGCAATGTTCTATATTTTTCAAATTAAAAATTGCCCAAATTGACATGTAGATTGCTTGGTTATCTATAAATACCCATCACTTCCATTTTTTTTTTCACTTTTGGTTATAGAATAAGGCTTGGCACTCAAAAATTTCCAGCTAGTGATAATAAATTGAGGAACATATTAATATGTTTTGTTTTTTACACAAACACCAAGTTACAAATAATACATAAAAAAGGTTTACCTAAGTAAATAAAACAGAGCAGTTAGTACAATCACTAAAGTTTGTCTGAGACTTATTTTTAGTTGCTAGTATTTTTAATATTTCAAAAAAAAGGAAGATTTATACACACAGGCTCACCGACCAGAGGGGGCAACTGCCCAGGGGCCCGGATGAATAAAACCTGGTTATGCTGTAAAGCTCGCAAAACACCTTTAGGCTTTATCTTCGTTAAGTTATAAAAGGCACAGTTTTTGGCTTTTCTTTGCATATAGATGCTTGGTACATTAAGAATGATTGAAGTAATAATTAATATATATTTGATACTTTATAGATTTAATAGATATTTGTTGTCACTTTATTAACGTTTTTACTCTTATACTGTATGAGAATCATCAAAAATATATATTTGGAACAAACAGCAGCTATCAGAGTTGAGAATGAGCTTAGCCAATTCCAGAAAATAAAAAGAGGAGTCCATCAAGGATGTGCGTTATCCTCTAATCTCTTCTTCTTGAACACTGAAATGATTATGAGAGAGATAAAAGACATGCCAGGCATAAGTATTGGAGGCAACAATGTAAACAATATCACATATGCTGATGACAGTGTTAATAGCAGGAACAGAAAAAGATCTTCAGTCCTTACTTGACGTTGTAAATAAAGAAAGTGGAGATATGGGAATCAGCCTAAACACCAAGAAAACAGAAACCATGGTTATATCAAAGAAAGAAATCCGTGCAAAATGTATTTTATCATTAAATGTGACCCTTCTCAATCAAATCTATATAATTAAATACTTAGGGATATGGATTACATCAGGTGATAGATGTCAAAATGAGGTCAAGAGCAGAACTGCACAGGCTAAGACAACATTTATGAAGATGAAAAACATATTGACTAACAAAAGTATATCAGTGAAAGTGTGCAAAAAAAAATTCTTAGTTGCTACATCGAACCAATCATGGACAATAAACAAACAAATGGAAAAATCACTTAATGCGACCAAAATATGGTTCCTGCGTAGAATGCTTAGGGTTTCCTACAAAGACCGGAAAACAAATGAAGTTCAAAAACAAGCAGAAACAAAAAGAGCATTGATAACAAAAGTATGAAAAAGACAAGCAGCATTCTTTGGTCATGTGATGAGGAAAAAGGGGATGGAACACTTGGTTACAACTGGGCAATTTGTGGGGAAAAGAAGTAGAAGTAGACAACAAAAGAAGATCCTGGACAGTTTAACAATTTGGCTACACAAAGAGAGGGTGACTGATGTAATCACAAGTGCCTGGGACCGGGAAAGATGAAGGGACATGATCGCTTATGCTACAAAGCTAAGCACTTGATGATGATGACTTTTATACTGTGAACTAAAAGTGGCTGCTGCTATGATGTTACCTTGCTTATAAGCCCGTTGCTGTCTTAATTTAGGTTCTTCTTTTTAATAAGTTCTTAATAAACCAGCGGCTTGTCTGCGAACTTATACCACCAGAAATATTGTTTATAAAAGCCAGTTAGTTCAGGATGTTGAAACCCCTCATATCATACCAATTTAATCCTCTAAGTAAAAGTGATGTACCTGGGTTTGTAGATCTAACCATAATTTGAGGATAAAGATATCTTTCATGTATTATTATTTTTCTAGAGTACTAAAAATATTAGTGACTAAGACTCAGACAAACTTTAATGATCTTAGTAATTGTTCTGCTTTATTTCGGCAAACCATTTTTTTTTGTTGAAGTATTATATTATTTTTTAAATGATACCAAGTATGTGTGTGTGCAGGAGCATCAAGAGCCAGCATGGGCCCTGTGACAAACATCCTTACCAGGACCTCTTTCTCTCTCTCGCCATTGGGGGGCCTGTGCAAGTTTTAGAGCATTCTATTTTATATGGGTGAAAATATATCGCAATCTAAATTGAATAAAAAAAATTTTTTGAGGCCACATTATTATAAGTAATTATAATTTTCTGTTAAAATATGCAGCCGTTCTAAAGAAGAAAAATGGGCAATATAAATTTATTTAATATTTTTTATGGTGATCACAATGTGGATAAAAATTGTTGTGCCTGTATACATAGAGTTAATAAAACACACATAAAATACTTTGTCTTTAACATAAATTTACCAAAAATATTGAAATAAAATGAGTTTGAAGATGCTTGGCTCAATTGTTCATGTTAAGATCACCCTCTCATTTAACGGAAAATGCTGTAAAATATTTTATTCTTTGAAAGTCTATGTTGAACTGTTTTACTTCAGACCAAAATGATGCAGAGCATGAATTGTTATCATTGTCGGCCTAATTATATGATATTTTGTGAAACGAAATATACATCTAATATGAATAAAATATGGTATATTTATGCAAACTATTTTCATTCAAAAAATATGCATTTCCTAAAGTTGTTATATGCACTCGTGTGTATGTGTAATTTGTATATGAAAAATGTGTTCAAAAATACCTTAAGTTTATATATATTGTTACGTCTCTGTATGTTTGCTTGTTAATTCTTACAAGATACAAGTCCTTTCTTTATAAAGCTTGTTTATTCTTCCTCAATACAACTTTGTAATGTACTTAATTTTCACAGTTACACACACTATAGTTCACAACAATTCACTCACTTTCTATCGCGCTTAGACTTAATTGTCCGTCCCCGCAAACTATAGTTCCGATCTCTGTTCCCGCCGACCGTAATCGCTGTCTTTCTTTCTCTCTGCCTGCTTCGTCTCTGTCTCCACTACTGCTTCGACTCCGTCTGTCTCTCTCTCTGTTTAGCGCACTTATATATGATAATACTGCCTGTTCTAGAAACTTCTAAGACTCTCAACACGTGCTACCAGCGTCAGTTGACGCAGCGCTGTTGCAACACACTAGCGAATCTTCTAGAATATTCGTCACATGACCCCGCTGTCCTAACACACTAGCGAATCTTCTAGAATACTCGTCACGTGACCCCCCCCCCCCCCTTATCTCCTCAATAGATCATCAGAACTTTACAATACTATACAGTGTTTCCTTTATAACAATATCTATGTAATGACTGAGTCACAAGTTCTGGGAATGTCTGTAAATATCATAGCCAAAAGTTTGTATTTCTTGTTCTTCTTTCTTCTGCTTCTTTTTATTACATTATAACTCAAAAACCAAAACAATGGT